TGGATTACCACGCGTTGGATAACTACGCGTTATCCGAAGCTGTCGCTCTCACGTCTGCGCATGCGCAATCCTCGCGCTCTGATTGGTCCGCGCTTTTCCTTAATAATTCAAAAACGAAGCTTCGCACCTCATTTTTGCTAAGGGAAATCTTATTCAGAATCACGTCAACTACCTCCCATTTCAAGGACTCTAGTTGTGAGACATCCTGTATTTATTAATAGTAGGTGTTAAACTTACGTAGTTCAAGAACCTCTTGAACCTATTTTTTATGAACCCTATCTATAATTAAATTTGTGTTATTCTTCAGTAATATTAATAACTAGTTCAGTTATATTAATACTATGCCTTGATATGTATTAAAGCCGAAATTAAACTTGTGTAGTTCAACCCCTCTTGAACCTATTTCCTTATAGACTCTATCCCACAATTAAATTTGTATTCTTCAGTTAATAACTAGTTAAGCAACAAATATAAGAGGTCTTGACCCTGTTCGAATTTTACAAAACCTATTTAAATAAAAACGAAAAGATGTATAGGTGATTTTAAAATTGTTTCACAAACCCCAATTTAAAACCGTATCTCCACAAAGATATACAGTGTGATCAAAGACATATCGTGTACACGAAGTATCAAGTGTACCAAACAGTTTTTAATCAGCTAAAAAATTTTCTTCGTTAACCCGAGATAATAATAAGTAAATATTTATGGTTTGTTACAGACTCGAGGCAAGATGACGAGTATAGTAGCGAATCTGGTGCACGGGTACAGGGACCTGATGGATAACAAGTCCGGTAAGATGATTTTCTTTCGAGTCAATGAACATTTTCGATGAAAGGAAAAAGGGACAAAAGTTAGACGAGTTTCATAGAGGTCCACGACATTCAAGTGGGTCATTCGGGTGCGACTGTGCTAAAAATCGAAAACGAACAGACGCGACAGAGCGGAAGTTAAACTTTTACTATCGATCTTCTTTAGGCAACTCGGGAGACGAGCGGAAAATGAATTAACTACACGGATACAGCAAGATTATAGATATTTTTCTTTTCATACGACGGGTCGATCGATTTATTATGTTATTTAAACTTTCAAAATAACGTCGTTGAACGGTTCAATCTACTCAGGAAATAATATTACAATTTTAATTCAATTTTGCACCTGAGAATGCGCTTGTCAATGCATGATTTATAAGCTTTCGGAATTATGAGATCTTCCGATAAAGTAGGGTAATTCAAGTGTCGACATGCGAAGGAAAGAATTATTTTTCCTGTGGTCTCTTTTGCTAATTTGCAACCGTAATTTTCTTATAATTTAATAACTGACAGAGTCAGAAAGAAGTTTGACATTTGGATTAAATTATTTACCACATTAACCACCACAGCAGTTGAAAATTATATCCAATATTTTTTTAACAAATCTCACCAAATATTTTCACAATATGTTTATTCTTTTCATGCTCAATATTTTTATTATTTACATCTGCAATATGTTCATTCTTCTCTCTCATGCATTATTAATTCACTCAATTCATTCCGAATAAAATGAACAAGTTCTTAGCAATGTAGCTGTTGAATCTATATGGAAATTTAAGCGTAAAACGTATATGACGAGGCAGTAAAATATAAAGAGATACAAAAGAAAGGAATGCAGAGGTATTCCAATTGCCGTTGTTTATAGCTCCATAAATGATATTATTATCGCTTATGACCGTTCAGCTGCTTATATAGCAGCGTTTCCGTATATTAATGCTGTTATCGTGACCCTGAGGCTCCCGAAGAAAATATCCGATTAAAGTTCTCAGAAACACCCCAAGTGGCTGTCAAAAATACGTACATGCTTCTGATTTCGTTAATCTTATATTTATTTCATTAAGCCTATAATTCATTGAGTTTATAATTATTTCGTCGAGTTGATAATTATTTCATTGAGCTCATAATTATCTCGTTGATATATTATAAATTTTCAAGTCACAAATTCTCAGATTTAAATTGTGCAGAGTTCACTTACAAACTTGTGAACTTACAAGCTTATGAACTCGTGAACTTACAAACTTGTGAAACCACAAATTCCCAAATTAAGAAATCTGAGTTACATTTATTTTTAAACATAGTTTTGTAATCTCGAAACATTCAGTTTCCCTTAAAAAAATGTTAAATATAAATTTCTCTTAACACTAAAACTACCAAGCCGGTCAAATGACCGCTCCGCAAGTTTCTTATTAAAAGGTATACATTTTGTTGAAATACATTTCTTGAAATCAGAATTGATTTTCATCAAGATAAAGAATAAATGTGTATACTAATTTATGTTTCATCATTTGTTTATTTTATTTTTAACTTCATTTTTAATTTCAAATTAAGTACGCATTGTATGCCGGTAGGTTTAGTGTTAATGTGTCCCAGACGTACATTGCGAAATTAATATTACTTCGTGGAATCTCGTGAACTTTGAAAATCAGAATTGATTTTCATCACATTTCTTGAAATCAGAATTGATTTTCATCAAGATAAAGAATAAATGTGTATACTAATTTATGTTTCATCATTTGTTTATTTTATTTTTAACTTCATTTTTAATTTCAAATTAAGTACGCATTGTATGCCGGTAGGTTTAGTGTTAATGTGTCCCAGACGTACATTGCGAAATTAATATTACTTCGTGGAATCTCGTGAACTTTGATCCCATACTCGTCAATCGTGTTTCCAGAAGTAAATAAATCCACCAAGAATGTGCAATTAGCTTCTCACCCTTCCACTTAATATTATCTTTTAATTCTTTCTTTGTAAACATCGATTTTACAAAATTTTAAAAGAGTAAACTTTCTGGAGCTTTAGCTACGTTCGGTAGAAAATAATTCTGAACCTATACACAAGTTCAGAATAAAACTTGCGGGCGTTTGAAAATATTTCAAGGTTTCTTTATTTTATCCTCTCGCGCAAGTCTTTGAACCCTGAGGAAACGTTATGGTCTAGGTACTTGGAAACTTCCCTTAGAAAGGGAGCGCTGATGAGAGACACATGGCCTTCTGTTCAATTTCTGCTTTCTAAGAATATCGGGTCACTTGAATTTTGGGGAAATTTGAACTTTGTATGTTGATGCTAGTACCAAATCGGTCACAAGTTTCACAAGTTACTTTAAATTACTCTATCTTGTAAATTAGATTACATTTAGATTACTATTGTTATCTTGAAATCTGCATTCATCAAAATACAGGATTAATGTATGTACTAATTTCTGTTTTGTCGTTTGTTTATTTTTTGACTTCAAACTTCAAATTAAAAATGTGTTGGATGACCAACAAAACCTTCCAAATTATATCGGCAAATGTTACAGACTTATTCCTATACAAAAACATTAATTACGATTTTTAATCCTTAGTGAATCTCACATTGTAGCTCACACTGTTCCTTCATCTCCTACCTCTAATAGTATAAAAAAATTTGCAATATAGAAAAATGATCAGAAATGTTCAGAAAGGGTTACTTAGTCGACCCAATATGAGCTGTACAAGTCTTACAATTAAATAAAGTGTGGCTCTCCTGCGCTCATCGCCGCTAGGCGGCGCATAAGAGACTCGACTTTCTCGCTAGTACTCGCGTCCTAGTCCTTCCACTACCTAGCGCAACCACCAAAAAATGAGTACACATCAAGTATACTTTAAGATGAGTATACATCAAGATATGGATCGTTTATTTTGAAAGTGGTGTAAGTCCATTCTCATTTATTTTGAGAAAATTAAATGTTAACATATACATCAATGAAAAAATATAGGTTAATTATATCAAGACTGACAATTCAGCAATTTTTTACTAATTGATCAATATATAATTTAATTATACAAATTTCTTTTAGGTGATTTAACTAAAACAATGTATATTCATGCAAATGGACTTACACCACTTCCAAAATAAACGGTCCATATATTATATCTAATCAAGAAATGGAAATGAATATAATTATACGTTGGTAGTTTCGGTGTTAAAATATGAAGCTTGCAAAACTAGCGCTGTTAAGTAGGCAAATACTGGGGCATAGATTAATATCCGTACGGAATAACGCTGTACATTATTTACCGATCTTCCCGATCTAAAACGAGCGACATTACTTATGGAATGACCCGATGAATCGACCCAATTACCCGTTCGATTAACACGTGTATGGCGCGGCCGAGCGTTAAGGTCTTCGTACAAAGTGTTTTGTAGTTGGAAAGCGATGGAATGCGACAGGAGATCCTTTTGAGGAAGCTTTCGTAATAATCGTTGAACGGGGACACGTATACAACGATTCGACGAAAAGCACATCAGAGCCTGGTACTCGGTGTTTGTCGTGCATATTTTTCGAAGTGGCCTTCCGCGTGTGTCAATAAAGTGTCGTAACATTCCGTCTCGTTCCCGATTTCCCTGCGATCCCTGCCCGTTTCACAGAGTGAAATCTCCACGTTCCCAAATATTCACGCCCCCAAATCTCCACGTTCCCAAATCTCCACGTCCCCAAATTTCTACGTCTCCAAATCTCCACGCGCCGAAATCTCCACGCCCCCAAATCTCCACGTACCACGCTCCCAAATCTCCACGCTCCCAAATCTCCACGCTCCCAAATCTCCACGCTCCCAAATCTCCACGCTCCCAAATCTCCACGTCTCCAAATCTCCACGCCCCCAAATCTCCACGTATCCAAATCTCCACGCGCCGAAATCTCCACATATCCAAATCTCTACGTCCCCAAATTCCCACATATCCAAATCTCCACGTCCCCAAATCTCCACGCTCCCAAATCTCCACGCTCCCAAATCTCCACGTCCCCAAATCTCCACGTCCCCAAATCTCCACGTCCCCAAATCTCCACGTCCCCAAATCTCCACGTCCCCAAATCTCCACGTCCCCAAATCTCCACGTCCCCAAATCTCCACGTCCCCAAATCTCCACGTCCCCAAATCTCCACGTCCCCAAATCTCCACGTCCCCAAATCTCCACGTCCCCAAATCTCCACGTCCCCAAATCTCCACGTCCCCAAATCTCCACGTCCCCAAATCTCCACGTCCCCAAATCTCCACGTCCCCAAATCTCCACGTCCCCAAATCTCCACGTCCCCAAATCTCCACGTCCCCAAATCTCCACGTCCCCAAATCTCCACGTCCCCAAATCTCCACGTCCCCAAATCTCCACGTCCCCAAATCTCCACGTCCCCAAATCTCCACGTCCCCAAATCTCCACGTCCCCAAATCTCCACGTCCCCAAATCTCCACGCCCCCAAATCTCCACGTCCCCAAATTCCAACATATCCAAATCTCCACATCCCCAAATCTCCACGCTCCCAAATCTCCACGCTCCCAAATCTCCACGTATCCAAATCTCCACGCCCCCAAATCTCCACGCGCCCAAATCTCCACGTCCCCAAATCCTGGAATGTCGAGTTTGTTATTCGACGCGAGGAAAAATCGAGCGCGTCAGCGGTTCTTTAATTCGGTCATCGCATACCTTTCGTAACCTGCTCGTTCCTCCGATTCAGAAATTCCTGACCCCGCATAAACACGTTTCTCCCTATGCTTCCTAGGGACCCTATTATTGCTGAGTACGTCGATGAAAATGCTATTTTTTAAGAGCCTCTTTAATTCTTTCTCGAGGAGCCTTTTAACCCGGTCACTCCCATTCTGCGGTGGTAGGAAGCATTTTTTAAATATGTAATAATTGAGTGCAACCGTGTGTTCAAATGAAAAGACTTTTACCTCCTTTTTTTTTGTTTAACATTAGATTTACTCGACTGAGAATGGAATTCGTATTTTAAATGTGTAATA